CTCCGAAACTTAGTTCAGTTTCAATTCAGTTTATTTATATAGCACTAAGTCACAATAAACGTCGTCTCAAGTCACTGTACACAAAAAAAAAAAAAAAAAACAATAATCGAAAGAAGCTAGTGTTAAATCTTCACTATGTCTCCCATCCTGAGCAGCGCAGAGGCAGCAGCGGAGAGGAAAAACTCCCTGCTGATCAGGAAGAAACGTCCAACAGAACCAGGCTCAGGACAGGCGGCCATCTGCCTCAAACGGCTGGGTTTGGGGGACAGGAAAGAAACACACAAACACAAATGACTGAAAATTAGTTTCTTTGAAATTTTGTCCAGCACCGGGTTCCCACGGGTCCTTGAAATCCTTGAAAGTTTGTGAATTTGAAAAAAAATATTTCAAGGCCCTGTAAAAGTTTGTGAAAACAGCCACTTTATTTCATTGATTCTGACTCAACAGCTTCTGTTGTTCAGTTTTTCATTGAATTTACATATTAAACCTGTTTATTGGTAACATTCTCTGGTAGCAGTAGGTAATTGCCGCTGCACTTGGTTCTTGAATTTGAGGAAATTGGTACTGGAAAGTCCTTGAAAGTTCCTTGAATTTGATGTTGACCAAGGTGTGGGAACCCTGCCAGCAGTTCGTGAGATGTTTTGGTAACAGACTTCCAGATGCGGGCAAAACATTGTACTTCTTTCAGTGGTAAACAATAATACTATCCAGGCTGCAATGTTGGTTTTTTTTTTTTTGCCTTTTTTTTTGCTTTCACTACTAATTTGTCAGTTGTTGGCTTTTAAAACATAATAAAAGTTTAACAATAATTGCACTTTGCTGCACTTTTATATTTAAAAATTTCTGAACATTAGATTAGATACATTTAATTTAGACATTTTAATTTAAACATTAGATTTAATACATTAGATTACATTTAATGTATTAAACTTTATTCTGTCTTTTATTTCATGCATGTAGCTTAAACTTTCCTAGTCATGAAGTGGTTTCCTAATCGTGACAGATACGACCTAAATACTAATAATTTTAGGTTTTGTTTTGCTGTTTAGTTTTTCAGCTCTTAAAACATGATAAATGAGTCAATATGTCTCTTGAGTTAAATAAAGACTTTGATTAGTTTAATTTTCGCAAACTTTTTGCAATTTTGAAGCATTAGAGACTTTTCACATTTGCCCTAAATACAGCTATAATGCTTCTAAATCTGTTTTCTGTAGTTTCATTAGTGACATTAGCCAGCCTGCCTCTCCTCCTTAACTCAGGCAGCATAGGCTGTGACGTCCAATTCCTCGTGGGCTCAATAACTAATTCTTCTGCCTCATCGATCTTGATTCCACAGGTTCTTAGCTGGGTCGAATCAGGCGTAGAGGGCAGCCGCCCGGATCTTGTCAAATCTGATGGACTGGCTGGCAATGGAGCAAGCCAGAATCATGTCAGCCAGACCCTAAGGGGAGGGGGGGGACCAAGAGAGCCAGCAAAACAGGATATTGCTGTGTGATCGTTCACCAGCAGCAGACAAATCATTAAACCACTGGCTGCGTGCCGCTGAGCAGTGCGGGCGTTTCTGTCTGTCACTCCAGCTTCCCCTCAAGCTAGAGTTTGTGTTGTAAGCTTGTCACTGAGTTTATACTAGAATGAAGGGTAGATGAAGATTGATTTTTATGCAATCCAGGCAGATTGTAGGTTTGAAGTTGTTTTCTCTGTACGTTCTCCGCTGTAATGCATCTTTCTTTCACTTTGTTCTATTTGTTTTGCTTTACTTGCGTTTCATGGGTGAAATCTTTGCATACCAAAAAACAAACCTCCCAAAACTGAACTTGTCTTTTTTTTTAACACAGCAGCATCATTTGATTTGTTTGAATTCTATTAGTGTTACAAACTGGATTACTTCGTCCTTTCCCTGCTTTTTCACTGGATTCACATGTCTAGATTAAATTATGCTCTGGTTTAATTATCACACAAACACAAATAGCTCTCTAACATTCTGTTTTAAAGCATTATGAATAAGTTTGCATTTAAATGCATTTATCTGACTTTTAGATATCATCATGCCTACAACGACTGACTTTTAAACACTTATAGCATTTGATGGTGACCACTAATCATGGACATGAGAGGCATTTTGTTTTTAATTGTTTCTTAGCCATGACTATTTTTAATCTGTCTACTTCTTGGCATTGTGTTTTTCTTCTCCTGGGAGACAAATCAGTAAATTCTATTCTTTCTTTAGACCTCTTTTACATAACAATTCTGCATCATGGCCACAAAGACCAGCCCCTCTTTTTAAGCTGCCTTTTAGTTAGTCTAGCCGGCTACATCCCTCAAAGATGTGAGCTTGCATAATGAACTTGGTATCACAGAACCGTAGGAGGTGTTGGTTGTAACTTAGAGACGTTGACATGAAGCACTATATGCATAAAATGTGTGTTGGATATCTTACATTCTATGGCCCAGTTTACACATAAATATTCTCCTGGGAACATTAAAGATTTTTTTTATGTGGACTGTTAAAAATATTCAGACTTCAATTCCGTGATCCTAATTGTTGTTTAGTCAGGACTTCAAAAAATGTTAAACCCACTGTAGTTTCTATACCAGGTGTTAATATAGTATTTCAAGTACACAACGCATGTGTGTAAATATTTCAGCTTCGAGAAAACAGAGAAAAAACTTCAACTGTGAAACCTGGATTTGAAAAGTTGTCACATAATTGCTGTTGCCGTGTAGATGAACGATCAGAACACAAATCATTCTGGTTTCTTTTAAAATCAACGTCATGTAAACTGAGCCCGAAGGCCTCCACATACTTCCTCTGCACTGCTGAAATCGGCTCACGATGTCACAGTTGCGTGATGCAACGTGCGTCATTTTGTTTGCATCTTCCATCCCTTCTTGCCACAATCTGACGGGAGAACTTTTCATCTCCCTTCGCATAAGAACGTGTTGTGTGATTGGTCTGAAGTTTGTTGTCAGGTTTGTGTATGCTGAAAGCGCTTGGAGACTACATTTTGCTTCAACCACTCACTTCCAGAATTCAACTGTTGTTCCTGGAAGTAGACATTTGTAAAGATAGTCAAATGGCTCATGGATGGAGAGCTCACAGACGTTGTGCACAGAGAAAAGTCTGCAGAAAACTGGAGTTTTAATCAGGACAGATTTGTGGATAAATAACGGTGATATTGGAGTTGTCTTTTTGGTTTTTTTCTGGAGGCTAGACTCCAGCAGGAAGAAACTCAGTGCAGTGATGTACTGCAGGAGCTCTGCATGATGTGTTTTAGGAGCTAAAAGGTGTGTGCGAAAACGAATATGGAAGGACCACGTGATCGTACGTCGACTTTGCCACTTCGGATGTGGAGGTCATAAGACCAACAATTGTTAAAACACCCAAACCATTTATCACCACTACATCGAACCCTCAAGCTACAATGCTGGCTTATTCTTACATGTATTAGTTGTTTGGATTTTTGCCTTGACCCTCAGAGGCATAACAGTGGCAGGTTGACTTTAACTCCCCCATGCTGCCTTGGTGCGTACGTAAATCACAATGAGACGGAAAGGTGTCTCACGCTCAGTTTGAAAGTCTTTTGTTTTAGAACTTTTCACCCAAAGTCATACAAACTGTGAACTGAAAGATGAGAGACGTGTTGTCCACAACAATGCTATTTACCTTTCAGCTGTCACAGTTTGAGGAAATAGAGGTTTTGTTCTTGTATCAGCCCCATTGTTTTTGTCCTACAGGAGTTAAAGGGCGGAGGTCAGTGAGCCAGTCAAATCTGCTCTGATGCTGAGGTGTGTTGTACAGACTCAGAC